CCAACCGCGCCGAGGAGCGCGACCAAGGGCCCCCCGCTGCGATGGCCAACGCTGGTCTCCCCCGCAGCCTCGGCGCCGTGCTCGCTGTCCACGGTGTCCCGCGCGCTGATGGCGGCCGGGGGCTCGCCATCGCCAGGGTCGTCCACGGGCCCCCCCATCGTCACGGCAAGCGCGATGCTGCCCTGGAGCACTGTCGGAGCTGCTGACGGCTTGTCCCAGGGGGGGCAGCTGCAGCGAGGCCGACGGCGAGCCCAAGCTACTCGCCTCCGTCAACGCCGCCCCCGAGGCCCTGCAGCAAAGTCAGAAGGTCGCCGCGCAGGCGCTCCATGGTTACTCTTCTGGCCGCCTCTGCTGCCCGTGGGGTTGGGGCCGCCTGCGCGCGGAGGGCCAGCAGGCGTTGCGCGCGCTCCTCGGCGTCGCGGCGCCAGAGGGCGAATGCGACCTCGCGCGTCAACCACTTAGAAACTGTAGCCCCCTGGTACTGTAATAGTTGGCCCAAGCTGGTGAGCGAGCACCTCGCGCCGATCAGCGCAGCGACGCAGGGCGAGCATACTTGGGCCCAGCTGTCGGAGTCGCGGTCGTCGCAGGACCCCCGCCACGACATTGGCGGGGAGGAGAATCGAGCTGCCGCCGCGCCCTGCTGGATGCCCGTCGGGCCCCCAACGCTGGAATTGCTGGCAGCAGCGCGGCCTCTCGCGCGGGCCCCAGGCAACCTCCCCGAGGGGCGGGCCTACGCAACTGGTGACTGTTGCGCTTGCTGCATGGGTGGTGGCACTGTCGCCGCCCCTGAGCCAGCGGCTTGGTCCCCCTGGTCCTCCTCGTCGCCGTCGGTCTCAGAGTCGGGCCAGCGCTCGATCTCGGACTGGCCTGCCCTATTACCCATGTCCACGTCGGGCTAGAAAGAGTCGGGTTCGCTGCCCGTGCCGCTGGGCGGCTCTCACTGTCTGTCCATTTGCAGGCACTGCCTCCTCCTCCTCCTCCTCCTCCTCCTCCTCCTCCTCCTCCTCCTCCTCCTCCTCCTCCTCCTCCTCCTCCTCCTCCTCGTGGGGGCGACTGCAGCGGCGACATCGCCATGCCCTCGGTCTGCCAAGCAGCTGCATCGCAATCGCGTGCCTGCAGGGGTGCCTCAGGTCAGGCCGGCCCCGACGAAAGCCAGCTCTTCTGGAGCAGATTGTCATCGACATCGATCAACCAGGGGTGCTTCGCATCGGCTACTCGCTTGACGTACTAGCACACCTCCCATAGAATAGCCAGGTCGCGAGGAGCACGCCCTTCGCCTGTGAACAGATACTGGGATATACAGATCAGGATAGACTTGTATATCTGTATACACAATTGATGCACATCAATGCTTCGTATCTCGTGGGATGGCTCTGAACGTTTCTCTGCGGGCCCCCTGGTTGCGTCAAGGTGTCTGTTAGGGTAGACTTGAAACGTCTGAAAATGTTCGAGCTGTCGTTGAGCCGTCTTGGACAGCTCAAGTCGCTTGTTTGATGTGCCCCCTCTGAAATGTTTGGAGCGGCCTGTGGGAGAACGACCTTTCGGGGGCCGCGCAAGGGAGGTGCTCGAAGGAGGGGGCAATCTGGAAGGGTGTGCCGGCCGCAGGCCCGTGCCCCCGGTGTGCCCCGTCCTATGGTACAGACTGTCATGCGTCCCCTGCGGGTGGACAACACAACAAGGAGGAAGAGGATTGCAGTGTAGTGCTAATGCCCTTGAGATTAGACAGAACCCTGTGAAGGTGCTCGTGAAGGTTGGGGAGGAGCAGGAAGAGGAGGAGCAGGAGCAGGAGCAGGAGCAGGAGCAGAAGCAGGAGCAGGAGGAGCAGGCCATGGGAATATTGAGGCTCTCGAATCAGGCACTGCCCACCCCGTCTTCTATGTAGTCAACCGTGGTGCAGATGATGTTGCTGGCCGTGCGGTAAGTTTCCAGAAGGGATTCTGGAACACGTTCGACTTCAGCATGAAGAGATGAGCCTAATGGTGACACGCCTTGCATATATTCAAAATCTAGCCTGGACTGAGGACCCAAAACTTAAGACTCTGAAGGTGCCACGGTTTCCAAAGTTAGGAGGCTCCGCGAGGTCCAGCTTAGCCCCCATGTGGTGCATCATCATTGGAAACGCATCCGATGTACCAGGTGCGCCAGGGCAGGTACCTTAGGCAAAGCCCGCTGGGTCATCAAGCCCTGCGCACCACAATCCCACCAGCCCTCTGGGCGACAGGTGGTCTAACGATGTCTTTCTTTTCTTTTCCACAACTCCTTCTTGCCCTGCGGGGAGGCGTTTATCACTGTTCCCTTAATATACACCCCCTTCCCCAGGCGGCTGGGGGCCAACCAGGCACCATGCCGACACCATGACCACCCGCCCCCCACCATCCCTGTCAAAACACCATACAAACCGCACTCTGCCTCCACATTTGGAGCATGCGCAGCCAACCCGACGCGGCCCCCCAACATCCCTGTCAAAAAATCAATGCAACGTACACTTTGAAGCAAAGTCTTGACTCATGTTCGTGAGGCCCGCGAGCACTTCGTATTGATGTTGACAAGGACGGCGGGGTTGTCTGCATATTCCCTGCTGTGCGCAGGGCTACCATCCCTGAACAAAAGTACAAACTGCACCTCGAGGCTAAATCTGGATCATGCGCGGCCATCCCGCGATCACTGTCAAGTGGTTTTGACAGGGACGGCGGGGGTGGTGGCGCGTGGCCTGCTGTGCGCAGGCCCAGCAGACACAATGATGGGCATCGGTGGCGGGGGCCGACATGTTTCCCGATGTGTGCTGTCACGTGCGCAGGCGCACCTGACGCACTCTGCACGTGCCCCGAACGCGGCGCACCTGGCGCGGCTGGAGAGTGCGGCACACCTGGCGCACTCGGAGCACGCGGCGCATCTGGCGCACCAGGCGTGCCTGGCACGCTCGGGCCCCAGGGGTACCTGGCGCGCGTGGCGCTCGTGGCACGCGTGGCGCACCTCGCCCAAACGTCGCGCACCTGGGGTCGGCGTTGGTTTCCAGTAGCTGCCCATCCAAAGACGACCGCAGAACATGTTCAGGCTCGGGTGTTACTTATGTGTAGGGAGGGCGGGTGGGAGTGAGCTAGACGGCTTGCGGGCGGGTGGGTGTCTTGAGCCTCCACCTACCCCCTCCCCTGGACCTAAACGGGGAGGGCGCGAGGTGTCAGAGGGTTCGTGTTCGCCCAAGATGGCTCCAAGAGGGCCTCAGAGGGCCCAAGACGGCCTCCAAGATCGCTCAAGATAGTCCAACATGGCTCAAGATAGCTAACAACATGCCTCCAGGAAGCCCCAAGAGGACCAAGAGACGGTTCCAGGTGCTTCTGGCGACCCCTCAAGACCCCCCCGAGAAGTCAAAATCCTTCAAACACACAGCCAAGGAAAATCCAGGTGTGTTGCATTCTCGCCTTTTCGCTTCGAGACCGTGCTGCCCGCCAGGCAGGAGCCGTGCCACTCTTTTAGGGACGGGCTGCACGGGGCCGAGGTGCGCGCGCGGACCTCTTTCTTATGGAATCCTGCCCACGACTCAGACCAAGACAAAACGCGTCCTCTCTGGGTGCTGCCAAAGCAGCACCAGGTGGCCTGTTTCTGTGCCCATGGGGTGCAGCGGAGCGCCCTGCCACGCAAAGCCAAATGAGACCCGGCCCCTGGGAGCTGCCTGACGTGCAACTGTCGCCACGTGCCTGCACCCCTGAGGGGGGGGGCCGTGGGCATGGACGGGATAAGAGTGACCTCGACGGGGGCCGCCCCCTTCGACCTGCAACTCACACAATTCCGCGGTGAATCAGCTCATTCCCAAGACAGCCACATCTGTGCGAGAGAATCCCGAGCTTGCGCAGGCCAAATATGTCAGCAAGGACAAAGGCGTGCCAATATTGGAGGTTCGTCGTGGCCAAGATCTATAATTGCACTGCTGATGGGTACATTATGCATTAAATCTGATTTGAAAGCGTTTTATGAACGTCACAGAACTCGCGTATGCAACAACAACAAAAAACAAAGAAGGGTTTACGTACATTCGTTATGGGCACCTCCTCCGCAAGTCGACATCGGAAAGTACAGCATCGACGAGGTCGACCCCACGCAACACCATCCACACATTTTACAGAATTTGCAGGCGGCCAAGCCGTTCAAAATCCCAGGGTCCTTGCCTGAGAGCCTCGAGAGTAGTAACTTCCATAGAACTAAAACTCTCATGCAGGTAGTCTCGGCCTGATCAAGAAGCCTCGAGGACACGTGACGTTTGAAACGGTGGGACATTGCAGTGTTGCGCATGGTCGCCGCTCAAATTGCCCGCGTCCAACTGTACTGGAACGCAATGCTGGCTCTCCCGTGCAAGGGCATACATTATTCAGACATGCCGAAATCTGAACACATGCATTCGATGCATAGCCACAGTTTACCATACGGAGGTGGAAACATCAAGGTGATGCGGCATCTTAATTTGGGCGGTAGATCGCACAGCCGATTCGGGCAGCTCGGCAGACGCACCGTTATACTTATACCATACGTGCCTATGCCAAAAGATAAGCGATGAAGCGCCCTGGAGCGGGGCATCCAAGCGCCTAGCGTGGAACATCCGAACGCGAAACACACAAACACCACACAACCGAGCGTGCAGCAACACCCGTGAACGAGCTCTTCACGACGTGACGTCCGAGACGACGACGACCGCGACGACGATCCCCGCCAACGACGACGACCAACACCACCACTACGACCACCACGACCATCGCGACGCCGACGACGACGACGACAACGGGCGACGACCGACCGATGACGACGACGACGACGACGACGACGACGACGACGACGACGACGACGACGACGACGACGACGACGACGACGACGACGACGACTACGACGGCGACGGCGGCGGCGGCGGCGGTGGCGGCGGTGGCGGCGGTGGCGGCGGCGGCGGCGACGACGACGGCTGAGGGCCGTGGCGCGCGGGGGGGGCCATTGCCGCCGCCCACGCGCGCGCGCACCTGCGTGAGCAGGCCACGAGCTCCTCCCGGAGGCCCTTGACGTGGCTCGCGCAGTCCTGCCGCAGGCGGTCATCGGGGGACGACGGCAGCAGAGGTAAAACAGAAAGCGACGACGCCGACGACGACTATAAAACAAAAGACATCGACGGCTATCACGACGACAACGCCGACGACGACGGGGACGACGACGACGACGAGGGCAATGGCGGCGGCGGAGATGGTGACGGCGACGACGACGACGACGACGACGACCTGCGACGACGACCTGCGACGACGACGACGACGACCTGCAACGACGACGACGGCGGCGGCGACGAGGGCGACAACGGAGACGGCGAGGCCGAGGTCGACGGCGGCGGGGATTTTGACAGGTCCGGCCACGTTCTCGCAAGGTTTGGGAGTTTTCCTGAAAGTCCCGACAGGTTCCGAATAGCTTCTAGCGATTTGCAGAGTGGGGAGGCTAGGGAGGACGAAAGGAAGGAGAAATAACGGATCCAGGCTTGAAGGCGCTTGCAATATATGAAGAATCGGAAGGAAGAGAGGCGGGGATGAGAGAGAGGAGGGAGGAAGAAAGAAATGAGGACGAGGAGGAGGGAGTAGGAAAATGAGGGTGATTGGTAGGAGGAGGCCGACGACGGCGGGATGGGGGGGAAAACAGAAAAGATAGGAGGGGGAGAAGCGAGGAGGGAGATAAGGAAGGACCCAGGCGCTCTCAGTGGGTCCTGAGAGTTTTGGCGACGACGACGACGACGACAACGGGCGACGACCGACCGATGACGACGACGACGACAACGACGACGACGACAACGACGACGACGACGACGACAATAGAAGGCGGCGGCGGCGGCGGCGGCGGCGACGGCGTCCAGGCGGTCTGGCTCGCGCGGTCTGCTCTCGACGGCGGAAATAAGCGCTGGGCAGAGCGCCCAACGGAGGAGTTCGAACGCGGCCGCCGGAAAATTCTATGTCGACCTCCCCGCTCTGGTCCTGGGAGCACCTTTAGATCGGTGCACTCCCGGTCGACCGAAGGCCCCTCCTCCCCTCTTCCCGACTTCCGCGCGCCCCGCACCGCAGGCCCCCTCGGTGCGGCCCCTGCCTGCGTCGCCGGACTCCGGCCACCCCGCCCCACCAGGGCTCGAGCTAAACAGTGTTTGTAGTTGTCGTTTTCGAGCTAAACAGTGTTTCGTTCTGCCATTGCTGCAAAACGAAATCAAAACGAAAACGGTCCGCGAAATCGAAATAACACAGTTCAGCCCGAGCACTGCGCCCCACCGCCGACTTCGTCGTGCTCGGAGGAGCCCCAACGAAGATGGCGGCGACGGCGATGCACACAGGTCGGGAGCGAGAGCAGGGCGGTGGTCGGTCTTCGGGAGAGGTCGTCGGCACGGGCGCCATGGCGATGCCTGGCAGGCAGTGTGGCCTGGCAGCGGGGAGGGCGGCTGGATGATGGGCGGGGGGAGGGGAGGGGAGTGCGCAGACTCGAGGAGTGCGTCGCGCAGCGCGCTAACGGCCACACCAGAGCGGGGGAGAACCTGATGGCCATCCCCCCGCCCGCCAAACGCTCACCCCACAGTGCCCACCAAAGGATCGCGGCGGGGGAGGGGAGCAAAGGGAGAAGGGAGGGGGACAAGCGGGGGAGGCGGGGGCGGAAAAGGGGGGGAGGGGAGGAGGAGTGGAGGGATGTGGCGGAAAAGGGAGGAGGATAAGGGAGAAAGGATCGGTTCGGAAGCTCGCGGGGCCTTGTCGCACTGAGTCACAAGGACGACCATCACAAAATCACGATTCTAAACCGGTCGACGTCGCACCCCACCGAGATGTCGCCCGCCGCATCCCGCGGAAGCGGCACAAGCCAGCGGGCTGGATGAGGCCAGGAGAGCGCGAGGTCACGCCAACAAGATCCGAGGCGGTGGCTGGAAGACTGTAGAACGACAGACGAGGTCAGCGTAGACTGGTGCCAGAACACGGGGAGAGAACGACTGCAGATGACTCCTGCCCCGAGTCTCCCCACTGACATCCTCCCCCTGCGGCAACACGCCCTGCAGCAGATGATGAGGCCAGGGGGTGCTGGGATGGGAAGCGCATCGGTTCCAGATGCCCTCTGGCGGGACAGGCTTCCTTTTTTTCTGCAAATATGCAAGCGTTTCTTGATGTTCGGCGATGACGGGCGTCATGCGGGAGGGGGGAGGGAGGAGTGGGGGGTATGACGTAACGCCCCCCCCCCGCCGTGTGGCTCCGGCACCACAGCCGCGCCCGCGCGCACGACGCGACGAGCGACAAGCGACGACGACGACGACGACGCGAGCAGCATGTAGGTGGCGATCTGCCCCCTCGCGCCTGTGTACACCACAACGCTCGCGTGCACCACAGCGCGCGTGTACACCACAGCGCCTGCGCACATCGCAACATACTTTTTGGGGGGGCAAGGCCCCAGGAGGACGGCGATGACCGACGCCCCCTGCGCACGCCACGGGCGCACGGAAAACCGTCGCCGCCGACGATTCGTGGGCCGTCGCGGCTCGGGGCGGCCACCGGCGTCGCATGGGCCGTCGCGGCGAAGCCCGCCGCCGCCGACAACGCGTGGGCCATCGCGGCACGGGGGGCCGCCGACGACGCGTGGGCCGCCGCGGCGGGGCGCGCGAGTGGCGCCGAAGCATCAAGCGGCAAGCCCAGCCGCGTCGTCGGCGAGGCGAGCCAAGGTGGCGGGGTGCTGACCCCGCCGAATGCGGTCAGCCCGAAGACGTCGGATGCGCCCAGCCTCGCCCACGTGCGGGGCGCACTGAGCCGCTAAAGTTTTGATGCTGCCGAGGCGCCCCCTGGCGTAGGCGTGGCACCTCGCGCACAGCACGTAGCCGAAGGCACGCTGCACGATGTGGCCGAGGGCATCACGCGCCCGCGGCGGGCCGTCCTCGGCGTCGGTGTCGCCCCCAGCAAGCCCCGCTGGCCCCGCCGACGGCCGTGCCGTGGCGGGCCGTGGTGATCGGGACCTCGCAGCTGCCTCCGAAGTGCACCCGCGGGCGGCCGCGGCTCCGACCTGGCCGCCGGCCGCGGCGGCGCCCTGGGCCGCAGCGCCCCCCGCTGGGGCAGGCGGCGGGCCCCGCGAACTCGACGCTGGGCCCTGGCCGCGGGCCGAGCCAACCTCGCCTGCGGTCGTGGGCCCCTGCTCCACCGCGCTCGGCGTGGGGCCCTGGCCCCGACCAGACCCGAGCACTCCTGGTTGGCTGTCGGCGCCGTCGGCGGCTGCCGCAGCCGCCGCCGCCGCCGCCGCGATGGCCACGCCTGCTGCCGCACTGGACGGCGCCGCCTTCCCGGCCACTGGGGCGATCCTGGGGGCGCGCGGGGGCCGACACAGCACGCGCTTCGACTTCCTGGTCCGCGCCGTGCGCAGACACGCTGCGCAGCGCCAGGAGCCCGAGCCGAGCGCGCCGAACGTGTGGTCGGTGGGGAGGAGGCGGTCCTCGTCGGCCTCGTCGCGGGCCACGTAGCCGCGCATGCTGTCGAGCCTGTCGGCGGACGCTGGAGCACCAGCCGCGGCCGCCCTGTGCACGACGCCGTCGACGAAGGGCTGGGCACGCAGCTGTGTCTGTCTCTCGGCCGAGGGGGCGCGCAGGTGGTGGGCGATCCCTCCTGCGACACGGTCGGCCTCGTAGTTGCCGCGGCGCTGCTTCCACGCGATAATGCCGCCCCGCTGGGCCTACGCCACCGAAGTCGTGGAGCGTCTGCCACACCTGCCGCCCGAGATGCCCCCGCGCTGAGGGCGCCAGCGTCGCGCGGGCCTCGCCCCGTAGGTTTATGCTGTCGACGACGTAGCTGGCGTCGTAGTGCAGCTCGACGGGAGGGATGGCATGCCGCAGGACGATGAGCACCGCCAGCAGCCCCGCGCCCTCGATGCTCTGCCAGGGCCCAACCAGCGGCGCGCCCAGCGCCCTGGCGCGGCTGCCAACGCCTGGATCGACTTCCTCGGGGCTTGGAGGTAGCTCGACGACCGCTGCCGCGGCCTGCGCACCACGGCCCTCGGCCAGCAGCGCATCGCACAGGGAGCCGTCGCAGCACAGTGGCTGGCCGACGAAAAGCTCGCCTGGCTCACCGCGACACCAGCGGACGTGGTCGAGGAAGCCGCCGCTGGGAGGCCTCCACCGGAGCTGCTGGGCTGGAAATAGGACTCGCTCGACAGGCACCTGACAACCGCGTCCGCGTTGTCCTTCTGCGGCAGCAGCAGGGCGATCTCGCTCAGAAACCTGAGGCCGCGGTCTTGGATGGCGCTGCAGCAGAAGTGCCCGTGCCAGAGGTCGCCGACGTGGTTGGGGCAGAGCTCGCAGGTGTCCAAAGGGGCGCACCCCGGGTCGTTGCCGCACTTCCTGGCGTTGGTCCACTGGCCGTACCTGAGGTAGCCGCGCTGCTCGCTGCTGAGGCTGGGCCAGCTCCGCGCTTCGTGGGAGGTACCACGGCCGCCGGCCGCCCACCGCCGAAACTGGCCGAAATTGACGCCGCCGTCGAGCCAGGAGGCGTCGTGCTTGCTGAGCTGCTTGGCCTGCCAGCACTCGCAACTGCGGCCGAGCAGCTTCTTTGTGAACCACGGGCTGGCGTCGCTGACGCTGCGGTGAAAGCCGTCGCGCGTGGCCCATGCATCGAGCGAGGCCGCCTCCCAGCCCGCGCGGCGCATGGACAGGAGAGCGGCCTCCACGGGGCCGCGGCAGTCGGCCCAGCTGCCCGACGCGGCCAGGGCCGCCGCGAAAGCCTTGTCCAGGGCCTGTCCAGGGATCCACCGCTCCCAGACAGCCCTGTGCAGCGTGCACGTTGGGTCACGCGTCGCCTCGAACACGGGGGTCGTAGACCCTGCTCATGGTGGCGAGGACGGCGGTGCGAATTTTGCCTGAGGACCTGACCTCGACTGATCTGAACGCCATCGTGCGCGCGGCTTCGAGGTCGGTGTCGCTGAGCCCCGCGCAGCAGGCAAAGCTGGCCTCGACCCCCGCTTGAAAATCCTCGCCGCAACATGGCGGGGGCGCCCTGGGCCCAAGAGCCGCCTGAGGCGTGGGACCCGCCTCGCGGCCTGCTTGCGGCGGCGCCGACGGACGAGCCCGGGCGCCCGTCCAGCCAGGGCGCAATCCACTCCGAGGTCGCGGGCGGCACCCACTGGCCGCGCCTTGGCGGCCTGGGCCAGGCGGCTCTCGAGCGCCGCGGCCGTCGCGGGCGTGTTGGCCAGCAGGAGACTTCTTGGTGGCGACGTGGATATCCACAGCGCGCAGCTCGCTGACGACGCTGGCGGCGCTGGCGACGAGGTCGTCGGTCACGCGCCTGCTGCCCCCCACTCGCTGGAAGAACAGGCCACCCGCGACCCGCCCCGCGATCCGCCCGCGACCCGCCCCCGACCCACCAGCGACCCACCCCGCGACGCACCCGCGACCCACCCGCGACCCACCAACGACCCGCCCGCGATCCACCCGCGACCCACCCGCAACCCAACCGCAACCCACCCGCGACTCACCCGCAACCCGGCCCGCGACCCACCCGCGACCCACCCGCGACCCACCCGCGACCCAACCCGCGATCCGCCCAGATTGCTTTAACGAGAAATCGGCGCCTGCGGCGGCCTTCTTCAGAGCCTCGCAGATTGCCGTCGTCCCCGCCGCCCCCTCACTCTTATCTGCGACTGCGGGGTGCTTCGATATTTCAGCAACCGATGGGTACTGGAACACCTCTGGTACACTGCGCCAACCGCACGCGAGAGCAGAAGTGGGAAAAGTGTTGTGTCCCGCCGCTCACCCGAGCGACCTGGTGAGCTCTCGCGCACAGCTCCGCGCGGACGTCACGCACGACACGAGCACGAGCTACGATCTCCTTGGGAGACGGCTTCACAGAAGCTGTCACGCCCGAAACTTCCAATCCAGAAGACCAGAGGAGGACGTCGGCATACACGAGGCTTGGCAAAATGGTGCAAGCTGAACTCTCCCAGGACACACATAAATCTACCAACTTTCCACATGCCTCTCCCCTCCTCCCCCGAGGGGGAACGATAGGGGGTGGGACTGGCTCAAGAGAAGAACCAACGCGGGCATGAATGACATCAACATTACATCGCCGACAAACCGGCGACGAGCCCTCAATACCGAAACCGCACTGTCTTGGGCTGGGCTGGGGCACCCAGGCTCCGACCCGTGAGGAGCGCAATGGGCGATCGGAGGAGGCCGTTTGGGGCGCGAGAGCACGCCACCGCCCTCGCCTCGCGGCAAGCTCCGCGGGAAGTGGCGAGCGCGCGATCGCAGGGAGGGAGGGGGGTCGCGGACGGGGTCGGAGGCGGGCTCGGGGGGGGGGGCGATCCAGTCGGTCCCAAAGCAGAAGAAGAAGAAGAAGAGGTAATAATAATAATAACAACTCACAAGAGCGATCGTTCGAAGACCTGTCGATTCAGCCTGGCAGAAAGGACTTAAACAGGGGCTCATACGCTCAGAGACGCGCGACTGTAGAGGGGGTGACACGAGCAAGGCCCACCGACGACAGTGCACGCAAGCCCCGAATCAGCACGAAGCGTGAGGGGCCGCGAACGCCGTACACTCGTACCTGTAGCACAAGTGCACCACAAGTCTTATCCCTGTGATCTCGATTTAGATCGCTCATGTTTCAAACGAGCCTCCTGAAACCGTGACGACAGTCGAACTCCGTCGGACACACTCAAAACTGGACGAGGAGGAGGAGGGGGGGGACGAGGAGGGGATCTGTCTCTCGGCTGGCGGCAGGGGCCTGGAACATCAGGCACAGCACGAGCGTCAGCAGGCCTCACTGCGTGCCGAACTCGATGATCGGCTGATGTGACAGGCACAGCATCCAGAGGCAGAGTTGAACTCTCAGCGTCGTGCGCGGGGCCGGGGGGCAACGGTGCGAGGGTCACTAACGGCGCAACGCCGGGCAGTCCCCACTCGCACCGCGCCCCCCGCCGTGGGGCAGGCACGGTATGAGATGCCTCTGAGGGTATCACTGGGCCTCGAACTCGTCGATCGCCTGCTGAATCCTGCGCTCGAGGTCCCCTGGTGGCGCCACTCCTTCGAGCTTCACTGCTTTGTCGCGTAGCCACAACGGAACCAGGATTTGCTGCAATACCTTCTCGCTGTCGCTGTTGGGCTTGACGTTGACCTCCAGGCGCTTGGTCTTGCTGTCGTAGGTCTTGCAGCATCGTGCATATTGAACTTCTTTCAGGAGATTGTGAAGGTATTTGGACGTCTCGGGGCTGCCTTGTTTCATCTTGTCGATGTATTGCTGAAGACTGGTGGCCTTCGGCGGGTCGAGGTCTTTCACTCCAAGGGACGTCTTCGCCACGATGATCCATGCATTCCAGACGTGTACGTGAGGATGAGCGAGGGCTGCGATCTTCTGTTGCTTCTGGTCCTTCCCGCACTGCTTCGCAGCCTCCGCATAGCTCTCGGTAGAATTCTTCCCCTGGACGAAATACTCGGAGCTCTCGCTCACCTGATAGTTTTCCAATACGATGGCCCTGAGAATCCTCGACGACATAGCAGTACTGAGGGTCAACTTTGCTATGAGAAGAACGAGGGCCTGCAGGTCGTGTTGATTGGCTCCTTTGCGTCGCTCCTTCTGTGGCGGTCTGGCGCCGCCTGCTGCTAGGCCGAGATCCATCAGCACTCTCTGAGGGACCAGTAGGATGAAGAATGCCGAGAGTATCGGATGCTGAGAACTCTAATCTTCTTGGACCAGAGAGATGCTTGGTACGGATATGATGATTGTACACGTATATGTCGTCGCACTCGTAGTTGTTGCCGTAGAGCTTGCATATAGCGCATGAATATGTTGTGTCCGATACAATAGGAAGCGAGGGGATAAAGCTCTGGTCGACAATACATCTACCATAATGCCAACTACGCCTTGCGTGATCTTGTGCAATTTTACGAGTAGAGAAGTGTGTAGAACACCATGGACATACTGCCTCTAACACGATGGAGTCTAACGTAATCATGCCGTGCATGGACTGTTCGCGTGCCCGGTGTAATCTGAGTGCTTTCATGGTGGGGAACGTAAGTGTGCATATGTTACCATCAGTGCGCATGAGACCACAATAATATTCACCTGTAGGTAAAGAACATGATGATGTAGTAGGATTTAGCGTGTCATGCTCATGGTGATGAGGAGGTATGTTGACTGAGAGGAACTTAGCACGCAATGCTGAGATATCGATCTCGAGAAAATCTTCCTGCAATGTGCCAGCGTCTAGCAACTGCCGCGGGGATACATCTTCAAGAAAATTCGCCGGCCCAACGGGCCAGAGGCGTGCTAAGATCTCCGGTAACTGGTTAACAATTTTCTAGTTCGCGCGCGCGGGGCGGCCCCTGGGGGTCCCCGGACGAAAAGTACCCCGACCAGGTCCCGGCCGGTCCCCGGCCGGTCCCCGGCCGGGCCCCGGCCGGGTCCCGGCCGGGACCCGGCCGGGTCCCGGCCGGGCCCCCCCGAGCGCTCCACGAGCGCACCAACAGGGCTCCGAGACGTCCCCGAGAGCCCCAAGAAAGGCCAAGAGGCCCCCAAGAGGCCCCCAAGATGGTACACGAGGGGTCCGACATGCCACAAGATCGCTCCAAGACGCCCAAGATAGCCCCCAGACGCCCCAAGAGGCCTCCTAGAGCACTCCCAGGAGGGCCCCCGGAGGCAAAATTCATTGTTTTTCCTTGGGTTTTTGAGAGATTTTGGAGCTTCCACCTTTTCGGCTTCCCGACGCCCCAAGACGGCCCAAGAGGCCCCCAAGATCGCCCCAAGAGGGCCCAAGAGGCCCCCAACAGGGCCCCAAGATGGCCCAAGAGGGCTCGAAGACGGCCCAAGAAGCCTCCAAGACGGTCCAAGAGGGCCCCAAGAACGCCCCCAAAGGGGCCCCAGAGAGGGAACACGAAACAACATTTCGAGCCCTCGGCCCTAAGAAGCCCCTACGAGGCCCCAAGAGGCCCCTAAGAGGCCCCAAGAGGCCCCCACGAGGCCCTCAGGAGGCCCCCAAGAGTCCCCCAAGCGGCCCCAGGAGGCCCCCCAAATGCCCCCCCGAGCGCCCCAGGAGTCCCCCAAGCGGCCCCAGGAACCCCCAAAGCGCCGCATTGACACCAGGCCCTCGGGCAAACGGCAGACATGAGACTGCATGGGCCGGCGGAATGAGCGAAGCGATTAAATAAGCACACTCCAGCAACGATAATGCCTGCAAGTCTTCATTCAGCTGCTGCAACCAAGGGTGAGAAATCGCATCTTCTGGGGGGTCGTGAGGAAAGCGGCCGAACATAGCGGTGACGTACAATTGATGATGAAGAGGATGACTGCATATCTTCTGAAACCATTTCAATCTCTGTATACGTAACTCTGTAAGTGTGTCTGCCATGCCGATGTTGCGCCACACTTCGATCGATGGAATGGGTCGATACTTAATCGTGCCGTCGTCGAGAAGGGTCTTTTGGGTAGCCTTGCCTTTCATGAGTTTACGTGCCTTGTACAGTATATATTTGTCGAAGATGTTGTAGACGAAAGCTGTGAGCCCTGAGACAAGTGCTGACCATACTGTGCATCGAAATACGAGAACGCGAAAGCGAAGATCAGTGCGAGTGAACCAAAACCTTTTGAATATAAACCATGCTTTGTTGGCAGCTTGTATCCTTAAGTTTCGCTCGACATAGAAGCAATTGCGGTAGTGTAGATATGGCCCGAGATATCGTGCTGCGCTGAGTACTTTGTATTGTGACTGTTGTGCATGCACTTGTCGTTGATATGTATGCGCAAGCGTGCCAACGAAGTGTACGGTGGACTCGCTCTTGCCCGTGTGCTGCGCGATCGTGTACTCGTCGAATATGGTGTTCAGGACAGTGTCGTGCCGTGCTTGAGTATCGTAGAAGCTCGTAGGTGCAGTGACCGTGTACTGCTTACATAGATCGTCGACGAAGGAAGTGATGGACATGTCGATGACGGCCGCATTGAGAGGAGATACGGCCAGTAGATGATGATCTTTCGTTTTTTCCTCCCATGCGTGAACAGCTTGCCAGTACGGTACGTGAAACTCGTTGGTCGCGACACTGTTGCCTTGGAACGTGCCGCTGCGAGGATAAAATTCTGCGGGAATATCCGATGTCTGTAGAACACACGTGGCATGTCGGTGATGCTGTCGTAGTAGCCGTTCGTCCTGTTCAGCGACGTGAACTGGCGTAGCCTCCTCTTCTTCGGGAAAGTCATCGTCGGGTTGAGGCAGCATCAGAAAGTGAGTAGCTTTGTCCATAATGTCATGAGACGGCGAAGCGAACGCGTTGACCACGTCGTAGTGGTGATTGGCGATACTGATACCATGTTTGGAGCACCGATGAGAAACCAACATCTTGACAAGAATAGCTTCTTCTCGACGGCGGCCAGGAACAGCAAACGCATGATGAGGTGGAGGCCGCGAAGGTTTGCCAGGCCGACGTAAAAGACCTTTGTGATAAGCCTTGGAAAACGATGATATGCTGTGAACGATTCGAACGTCATCTTTTTTGGGAATTTGAAAACCTTGGCTGCGATGAAACTGAAATGGACTGTGACCAGTAGCCCGTGTCATGTCGAGGATGTGCTGAAGGCGTTTGACGAAAAGCTTCGGCTCGTAAAGTGTGGGATCATGACCAACTCCATGTGTCTCCTGCTTGTAGACTGCCTGGGGCCACAATATCATTTTCCAGACTTCGTTGGGGACATCCCAGGAAGGAGGCGTTCTACGATTTGAGCCTTTTCGTATCCACCAGCTAACTTGTTTGAGGTCATATTCACCAAGTAAGTGGCACTGATAACTAACGTGAACTTCGTCATCATGATCGTCGAAGAATTCCTGACGTACTTGTGAGGTAGGTAAACGTATGCAATTCCAGCCGCCTTGAGAACCAGGTTGAGAAAGTTTGGCAAACCATTCGGCTTCTGAGCGCCGTCGAAGTGCAGCTTTGTGATAATTACGAAGTCTTCGTCCAATGCGTCTGCCTGTAAGAAGTCGTGCCAATTGCCATGCTTCAGCCAGTCGTCGTTGTCGCCAGGCGTCTTGAAGCTCGAGACGTCGTTGTTCGTTAAGTTCTTTGAGACGTGCAGCGTGAAGGCGACGAATATTACGATTGACACGAAACAGTGATGCCAGATTATGCCAGTGCTGAAACGAGTAGTAAAGAATGCCATGTTGTGAAACGACAGGCGCTTGTAGGCACTGAACTCGTAGCTCCCGTCGTTGTCGAAGTAGCTCTTGACGTTCATGAGAATGCGGTCCAGCTTGTTGAGCCTGCTTGCCGTAATGTGATGCAGCAAGAGGGAGGAGACCTTTTTCAACAAGCATTTCCCATTGTTCAGATGAGCTCTTGTTGGCGATAGCATCAAGTACGAAACGGTTGTCCTCGGTCCACTTGTCAAGAGCGATGAGAAACTGTTGTCTTTTTGAACCCTGCATAACAGATTGTACAAGTCGGTCGAAATCCCAGCGAACGTGACACTCTGCTTCTTGCCCTTCGTATCTTAGATTGTGCTCAATGAGCGCATAGACTGGGTGATGATCGACTCGACGCGTGTCAGGAACCAGCTGCAAACGATCCCCAAGAGAACCTAAAGTCTGACATTTGCGAACGCGCTGCGCCAAATAGAAACTGCGAGGCACAATGATGAAATCAATGTAACTTGAGGAGCCAGACACTCCATGATAATATGTGGGGAAGGTGGGGTAGAACGTGTTGAGTAAAATCAAGTCATGCTTGAGAAGAAACTCTATGAACTGATGGGTGCGAGGTTGCTGAAGACTCCTGTTAAAAGGCCCAGTGCAGGAATCGTCGGTAGGTGTGGGGCCCGCTGGGGTCCTGATGAGCCCGATATGCTCATTGGAGTCGATGCCCAGCACAGGTAGTGTACGGGATGGTAGGGAAGAATAAAGCTCTTCAAGCCACGCCAGCGTTTTTTGATAATCTCGTCGGGATCTGGCCGTGTCCGTGTTGGGGGGGAGGTAGGCGGAGACGAAAGTGATGTCCGACTGGTGACTTTTGCATCTGACAGCGCCCCCCCGACCCCAGAGATACTGCTGCTTAGGGTAGGACACGGAGATGATGTTAGACCTCGAAAACCTCTGGGAAGCTAACGCGATAGTGACGCCAGTATGTGCATTGCCTTGTTTAGGATGATACCCAAAATGAAATTGATGGTACTCAGCAGAAGTATGTGTATCACATGGATCTTGTTCATGAACGCGACGACGTGTGCCCTGGATGAGTATGACGCTGGTGCGTAACGTGCGAGATATGTCCTGGAATCTGTCATGCTGCAGCATGCTGAGACAGTTGTAAGAGGAAAGGGAGAACGTGTGAGCGACCATGGTGCACGTGCGAGTAGAAAGCGAGTGCTCACCACCCGTATGCCATGTACGCGAGCATAGACGCAGATACGGTGACAGGTATGCCCAGCAAAAGGGGGGTGCTGAAATGGGCTGAAGAAGAAGAGGAAGAGGAAGAGGAAGAGGAAGAAAGGGGGGCGCTCTAGTCGGTTCCCGACGAGCGGCACCCACCACCCAGGCTGCGCGCCAAGGGGGGAGGGGGAGCGGCGCCGCTCGGGGCTGCGCCCCCGCCCCCTGGGCCAGTCACTCCCCCCCCCCTCGTCGGCGCCCCGAACCTCCCCTGCTCCCTCCACGGCCCCTCCTCTCTCCCACCCAGTCCCCCCCCCCCTCTTCTCTCCCCCTCCCCATCCTCCCTCCCCGGCCCCTCCCGTCCCCCAAATCCCCCCCTCCCTTCCTTGCATCCCCCGCCCATCCTCGTCCGCTCCCACCCTCCTCCTCCTCCGCAGCAGCAGCGTCGTCGCGGTCGTCGTCTTCGTCGTCTTCGTCGTCGTCGTCGTCGTCGTCGTCGTCACCACCATCACCACCACCACCACCACCACCACCACCACCACCACCACCACCACCACCACCACCACCACCCTCCTCTTCCTCATCCTTCCTCCTCCTTCTCCTCCTCCTCCTGCTCCTCCTCCTCCCCTTCCTCATCCTTCCTCCTCCTCCTCGTCCTCCTCGGGAGGGCTCAGGCGCCTCCTCCTGCTCCTCCGTCTCCCCACAACCCCCTCTTCGTCCCTCGCAATGCACCCGAGTGGAATCCTGGAGGAGAGGCAGCAAGGATGACTTTGGTTGACCCTGAAGGGGAGCTGAAAGGGGGGGTTGTGCAATAGGGTTGGGGCAATTGGATTGCAAACGAATTGCGCCGATTACATTGTTTTGCAACTGATGTGTGGCACCGGAATACATTGCACGCCCCGAACCGATTGCAACACCTCAAGTTGTTGCACCAAATCTATTACACCACAATAATTTCGCTGGACCGCCGTGTGGGCCAACCAAAATGACAGCGTCGCCATCACGAGCAGTGATGCTCTGAGGCAGAAGAGAAACGGTGGTCAGGACTTCTCCTTCTCCCCAGTGAGGGGAGAGAATGAGGAGAGGGAGAAGGACGAGAATAAGGAGGAGGAGGAGGATGAGGAGGAAAGGAGAGGAGAGGAGAGGAGAGGGGGGAGGAGGATAGAATGAGGAGCCGAGAGCAGGAGGAGGAAGGACAAGGGAGAAGGGAGAAGGGAGAAGGGAGGAGGAGGAGAGGAGAAGGAGAAGGACGGAGAGGGAGGGGAGGAGGCAGGAGGAGGGTACATGACGACGAAGACGACGACGACGACGGCGGCGACGACAACCAGGCCCCACACGAAGACGACGACGCCCAGGTCAGCGCACACGGCCATGGCCCTCCCAAGTCTCTCGGAACCCTCGTCCCCGCCCATGTGAGCGGCTTTCCGTCGCGGCCCGCCGCTGCATGGCCCTGGGAGCCAGAACAGGCCTCTGCGGCCCCGAACGTCGGAAAAGCTGGCCGGCGTGAGGTGTTTCTGGAAGAGAAAACGATGTTTTGTCCTACACTCAACGCTGGTGTATAGTGCGTAGCGTGCTGCTAGCACTGCCCTCTATGGTGCCTCTGAGGCAAATGGCTGCGAAGGTAGGGAAGCGATGCATAAATCTACTCTTTCGGTAGTCAGCGCGAAATCTCTTGGATCTGCTCTGGGCTCCCCTCCTTGGCAAGCGGAGCGCGCCAAGGGCCAGGGGCGTCCGGCAAAGATCCAAAGCATCAACAAAAAAGGCCGTGCAAAGTGCACCCGTCGCTCGGATGAAGTGGATAGAAGCATGAAGTGGGAAGGCGCCAGAAGTAGAGTCAAAACGTGTATTGAGGTCGGGTGGTAAAGACGCAAGATCCTTGGAGGCCGAAGTCGGGATTTTTTGGTCGGTGGACGACCAGTGAATACAGCAAAGGACAAGTCGCAGGGGCAAGGACACAAGGGTGCCCTAGATGAAGGCGCGCGTCCTTACTAGGCGCGTTGACTGTAGATTGGACTTCCGCCCGCCCCCTAAAGAGGAGGGAAGAGGGGAAGCCACTCGATCATGGAAGCAGGAAGGCGCCCAAGGTAGATTGGGACCTGGGAATCCAGGAATACCTACTTGTTCTCCAAGTTTCGAAGCTAGAGGCTTCCAACATAGGGTCCGAGCGGATGAGGTCGGTAGACCGCACCGCATCGCCGAGGTATCCCAGGTGCATGTTAGCGTGGAGAAAGTCTGGCTCCACATGAGCGGCGATCAAAAACGGGTCTTACGCGAGATGGCATGGCTACCTTCCGCCGCGGCTTACGCGGGCCGCCAGCGCGGCACGCCATAATGGAGACGAGGGCGCTTACGCGCGACCTTACGCGAGCAGAATGCGCGCCAATGTCGGCGAAGACTACCTCATTTTTTGCGTTGTTCACATGGGGCCGAATGGCCGATGTGTCGCCGATGCATCGCCGATGCGTCGGCGATGCAATGTCGATGCGGCGCGATCCTCCGACCCTTCCTGCTCCGACCCCATCTGGGAGGCCCAGAGAAACGTTGGAGGTCTGAGAGGCGGAGGCGACGAATCAAGAGGAGGAGGAGGGGGAGGAGGAAAGAGGAGAAGGAGGGGGAGAAGGAGGAGGAAAGAGAAGGAGAAAGAGGAGGAGGAGGAGGAGGAGGAGGAAAGAGAATGAGGAAAAAGGAGGAGAAGGAGGACAGGGAGGAGGGGGAGAAGGAGGAGGAAGAGGAGGCGGAGGAGGAGGAGGAGATGGCGCATTCGCCTTGTCGAGATCCTGGCGGGCGGCAGCGGGCGATGAGCCTGCTGCGGCCTGCCGGGGGCCGACCAGCCAGGGGCCGGCTCGCGCCCCAGTCGCAGTCGCCATCGATGCAGTCGCCGCACTCCTCCTCCGCCTCCGCCTCAGCTTCCTCCTCCTCCTCCTCCTCCTCCGCCTCGTCCTCCTCATCCTCATGCTCATCCTCCTCCTCCTTGTCCTCATCCTCATCCTCATCCTCGTCCTCCTCCTCGTCATCCTCCTCCTTGTCGTCCTCCGCCTCGTCATTATTCTCCTCCTCCTCCACCTCCTCCTCCTCCTGCTCCTCATTTTCCTCCTCTTCGCCTCCTCCTCCTCCTCCTCCTTCTCCTCCATTCCTTTCCCTTTTTAAATAGTTTCTCCCTGTCGCACCCCGAGGCAAGTTTTTAGGGCGGGCCTGGCGTTTCACCTGAGACTCCCCCGCCATGTATGACTCTGAAGCGTTAACACTGACAACAGTTTCACAGATGAAGGGCGGGTGGTTTTCAGAATGCGGCTCTCTCCCTAACGCCGCGCACATTCGTTAAGACAATTCGCAAGAGCTTCACGCATGAAGGGCGGGTCATTTTCAAAATGTGTCTCTCGCTTTAACGCCGCGCACATTCGTTTTAATCAGTTGCAAGAGTATCACGGATTGAAGGCGGCGGGTGGTTTTCAAAATGTGGCTCTCGCCATCACGCCGCGCACATTCGTTTTGAAAGTTTGTAAAAAAGTTACGGATTGAGGAAGGGTCGTCTTCATAATGTGGCTCTCGCCTTAGCGCCGCGCACATTCGTTTTAAACATTTGCAAGAGTTTCACGGATTGAGGGCAGGTCGTTTTCAAAATGTGTCTCTCGCCTCAGCGCCGCGCACACTTCTTTTAAACATTTGCAAGAGTTTCACGGATTGAGGGCGGTTCCTTTTTTAAATGTGGCTATCGCCTTCACGCCGCGCACATTCTTTATGAACAGTTGCACCAGTTTCCCGGATTCCCAAGATCAACGTACCAGAAATTGCGTGTTGGAAGGGTTCAGGATTTTGCGGGCGCAGCAGTTATGTTGATCCGCTGGCTTGAAGGCCAAATAATGGCGTTGCACGATTCTGGATCGTCAAGAGGCAGCAGTCAGGTTGATACGTGGCGTTGACATCCCGAAAAGAATGTTTTGGCACGCTTCAGGCTCTTCAAACCTTTGTCTTCCAACGAGGCAGTCCCCTCAATGGAAATCAACCGTTGTATAGGGCCTATGAATTGGGTTTCCACTGGTCCTCCTCCTCCTCCTCCTCATCCTCCTCCTACTCGTCCACTCATCCTCCTCCACCTCCGTCTCCTCCTCCTGCTCCTCCTCCTCCTCCTCCTCTTCCTCGTATTCCTCCTCGTGCGCATCTTCCTCCTCCTTCTTCTTCTCCTTATCCTCCTCCTCCTCCTCCTCCTCCGTTTCCTCCTCCTCTTCCTCCTCCTCCTCATCCTCCTCCTCATCCTCCTCCCCCTACTCCTACTCGCCCTCCTCATCCAACTCGTCGCCCTCCATCTCCTCCTCCTGAGCATCCTCATCATCATCATCATCATCATCATCATCATCATCATCATCATCATCATCATCATCATCATCATCATCATCATCATCACAACCATCATGATCATGATCATGATCATCATCATCATCATCATCATCATCATCATCATCAGCATCATCGTCATCAGCATCATCATGATCATCATCATCATCATCATCATCATCATCATCATCATCATCATCATCATCATGACCATCATCATCATCATCATCATCAGCCGCAGCAGCATCATCAGCATCAGCATCAATAGCATCAGCTTCAGCATCAGCATCATCATAAGCAGCAGCAGCATCAGCATCATTATCATCATCGAGATAATCAGCATCATTATCACCATCTGCATCACCATCACCATAATCAGCGTACGTCTCACCATCATCATCATCACCACCACCATCATCATCATCGTCATCATCATCATCATCATAATCATCATCACCACCACCATCATCATCATCATCATCACCACCACCACCACCACCATCATCATCATCATCAGCATCATCATCATCAGCATCATCATCATCGTCATCATCATTATCATCGTCACCATCATCAGCACCATCGTCATCATCATCACCTCCACCTTTATCATCATCATCATCAGCAGCACCAGCAGCAGCATCATCAGCAGCATCAGCATCATCACCACCATCACCATCTGTATCAGCATCAGCATAACCATCGTCATCATAATCATTGTCATCAGCATCATGATCATCAGCATCAGTGTCATCATCATCATCATCAGCAGCAGCACCATCATCATCATCACAATCGAAATCCACACCATCATCTTCACCATCAGAATCACCAGCAACATCATCATCCACAACATCAGCAGCTTCATCATCATCATCATCAGCAGCATCATCAGCATAATCAGCATCTCCATCAGCATCATCAGCAGCGTCAGCATCATCATAAGTTGCAGCAACAACATCATGTTCGGCACCATCAGGATGATCATCATCATCATCATCATCATCATCATCATCACCACCATCATCATCATCATCATCATCATCATCATCATCATCATCATCATCATCATCATCATCATCATCATCATCATCATCACAACAATCATCATCACCACCATCATCATCAACAACATCAGCATAATCCGCATGAACATCATCATACGCATCACCATTATCAGCTGCAGCCTCATTATCATCATCCGGATCAGAATCCTGATAATCATGGTCACCAACATCATCAGCACCATCACCAGCACAAGCATCATCATCAGCATCAGCAGCAGCGTCAGCACCAGTATCCTCACCAGCATCCTCCTCATCATCACCACCACCATCACCAGCATCAGCATCATTACCAGCATCCGCATCATCATGATCAGAATGATAATCAGCATCAGCATCATCGTCAACATGATCGTCATTACCAGCAGCATCAGCGTCAGCATCAGCATCAGCATCCGCATCATCATCATCAGCATCATCATCATCAGCATCATCATCAGCATCATCATCATCATCATCATCATCGTCATCATCGTCATCATCATGATCATCGTCATCATCGAGAGCCTCTCGGCGGCGGCCCACGCGACGTGACCCAGCACGGCCCGCAGCGCGGAGCCGGTAGTCCAGCGGCGTCGCGGCAGCGCACCGATCGCCGCGCGCAGCCCCCAGACGATGCGGCCCTTGATGGCGAGCGCCACCCCGCCATGGAGCTGCAGACCAAGAAACTCAACGTCCGGGAACGCCTCGACGATCTCGTGGACAACCAGCCCTGCGCGCCTCAGGCTGCTGACAAGCGTGCATAACAGATCGCACGCCGCCTTCGCCGTCACGCCCGCGGCGGCCACGTTGTCCACGTAGGCGCCGGCGGCCACTGGTGGGGGGGCGCCCTGCTTGACCCCCACTTGGCCGTCTACGATCACGTCAGCCGGGTCGACACCGCCACGAATCAGGCAAATGGCAGAACCCCCCCGACAACGACGCGGCGCCTATGAGAAACCCATCGACAGCACCAAGACCTCGGCCGCCACGAGCAGCCCGGGGCTGAAAGGAAGGCCCGTCATCCCTGCCTCCATCAGGAAGGTCGCATCAATCGCGGGCAATGTGAAGTAGTCCTCCATGCCTGCTGGAAGGCGCACGCGATAAGAAGCGCACTCCATGTCCGCGGTCGCCACGCACGCGCCCGTCGATGGGACCTCCAGCGAGCCCCAGGTCGACGCTGCAGGCAAATCTCGTCTTCGGAGGCGGTCGAAAGTGGCAATTTGCGAGACGTGTATCGAATATGACGCGTTGGCTCCCGTTCTTTTCTGGCAAACGAAAAAAAACAAGCCCGCATAGCCCTTGGGATCCACAGCCTCGGAGAACGAAACCATCCCACGAGAGTAGAGCTTGCCCCAAAACTCAGTGCGCGAGCGCGGGTCACCGAAGAGCTTCCGATCGCAGTAGGCCCCACGCGGGCGCGCTGACGCATTCAGTCCCTCGGCTTCCTGAGAAGGTCCAAGCATATGGCTCCGCCAGTGCTGCGACCGTTCCTCCTCCGGGCATCCGACCAAAGCGGAGACATCCACGGGGCGGCCAGCCGGAGCAGGCCACGATATCAGCTTTCGGTTGCATGGCACAGACGGGCTGGGCTGGGCGCGGCATCTCCGTAGATCGACACGCCGTTGAGGAGCTCCTCGAAGGCTCCGTCCTCGCATTCGCGCGCCTCGGCATGCTTGTCGGGCCTCCGACCCAATCGATGCAGATCGGCGTTCATATTGCACGGGGCCGCGCGCCAGGTCTCGCTGACAGGGCCCCCGAAGCTGCTGCGACAGCCAAAGAGCGAACTCAAAGATGCAATGGCCTCGTTGAGCCGACGCAGATGGCGTTCACGAAGTGCCTGGCGCCTTTGCGATCTCCGACCGCACGCGCCAGAGAAGGCCGCGTCCGAGGTGACCAGCGGCAGCGGGAAGATGTCGCGCTGGCGCTCTGCAGCCCTGCAGCGGAGGAACTCCGCTGAGCCGGCATTCTCGCCAGGGCTGCCTGCCGGTCTCCCAGACAGCCCGAAGGCGACGGCTCCATGACTCTGCCGTGGGCGCGCCGCGCCCATCGCCCTTCTTCTTCGGCTTCGGCCTACGAGGTGGATGCTCAGGGCCACCATCAACTCCAACTGCGAGAGCGCGTTCTTCACAGGTTTCCCCCCTCTCCTTGGCCATCGCCGCGTCTTTCTGCAGCTGCTGCGGCACGAAGTCACGCAGGAGAGGAGAAACACAAACATGACCAAGGCCGTGCGAAAGCCTTGGAATCAAGCCCTCGATCACCCCGAAGTCCGTCTCGCTCTCGAAGCGGTGCCTATATCGCTCGTTCTCGGTCTGGAGGGCCCGCGCCACGAGCTCCATGGTCGCCAGGCTGCTGCTGCGGAGCTGGTCGTAGCGCAGCCCCACCTCCAACAGCCTGCACATGAACTCATGGTTCGTGACACTGGGCTCGTCGTCGCCGAGGCAGCCCCCCGCGGGCCACTTCATGCGCCTGGCCAAAGATGCGCCGGCGACCCGATGATGAAGATCACAACCCACACCATCGTCCGCGGGCCGGCGATCGGCCAGTCCGCAAACGGTGCCTCCACCAGCTGTTTCACTGCTTCGCCGTACTCGCGATGCCACTCGCCGCGGATGTCGTAGGCCACCGACATGATCCGCAGGTCAACTCCACGGGCAGCGGCGCCACCCGCCGCGCCCCCCACGGGGGCCGCGGGCACGGCGGCACCCGCCGCCTCCGCTGACGGCGCGGCCCCGGGCGCACCCGCGGCGGCAGGGGCTGCCCCCTCCGCGAGCGGCACGGCGGCCGCGGCGGCTGCGGGGGCCGCGGCGGCCACGAGGGCACCACCCGCTGGCGCTCTCGCAGCGGGAGCGGCGCCGGCCGCAGCGGCGCCTCCCACGCCAGCGCCTCCGAGCGCAGCCGCAAGGCCACCAACCCCGGCTGCGGCGCCGCCGCCTGCTGGCGGCAAGGCCGCAAGCCCGAGGCCTGGGGCACCGACCGCGAGAGGTCTCCCGCCAACGTTTGGTACCACCGCCAGCCCTGCGGGCAGCCCCAGCTCCGCATCCACAGCCGCCTGAGCCGCTGCGATCGTCGCCGCCAGCGGCACCGCCCGGAAGCGGTGCTCTGCGTCGCCGCCCAGGCCCGCTGCAGCGCCACCCGCTGCGCCGCCCGCGCACAACACCACCGCCACGATGCCGGGGCCGCCGAATGGCATCTCTGCCTAGGCGTCGCCGTCTGGAGTGAGGATCCCGACGGCCCACGGAGGCCCCGCGGCCAGCGCCAGCACGAGCCTCTCGTGCCACACCCTGCGGCCACCGACCCCGTAGCGGATCATCATGAAGTCACCGACCTGGCCTCCGATGGTCACGAACGGGTGCGCCATCACGGCGATCGGTCGCGTCTGGCGGGCTCGGGCAGCGGCTGCCTGCTCGCGAGCCTCGTCCTTGAGACTTAGCGTCGGCGCAGCCGCCGCTGCCTTCGCTGGGCACCCGCTCCGGCGGCTCAGCCACCACTGGCCCGCGGCCCCGGCGGCAGCCCCCACGATGAACACCAGGACGAGCGAGGAGTACGCCAGGACACACTCCAGCCACCCCAGGGGCTCGACAGCGCCTGCTGGGACGCCGGCGCCGCAGGACAGCGCGGGCCTGCACAGCGCGCCGCCCACACGATTGCGGCGGTACCTGCTGATCGGAGCGATTCTCCAAAAGGGTGGTCGAGGATAGCCTGCATCAGCCTTGCACTTTGAGCCCCCCCAACGGCGATGGAGATCATCCCCGTGCGGCCCTCTCACGTTACACCTACGTAAATTGTTGTGAAAACGCACATATATCGTGTGGGGTCCTACCGTCGGGGTATTTTCCCTAGCGTCCAGGACTATCTCAAAGGCCTTCAAGATCGAGCAAGACTAGCCAAGAGGCCCACAAGAGGGCCCCAAGACAACTCCAGACAGCCCAAAGCACGGCCCCTAGAGGCGCCCAAGACAGCCCAAGAAGAGCTCAAGACAGCCCATCAAGAGGGGCCAAGACAGCCCAACATGGTCCAAAAAACGGCTCACGAGGCGCCGATGACGGCCCAGGATGATCAGCAACGAAAGGACCCTTAACCCTTTGAGACGAGATTTGAGTTAGGAGGGCAACATTAGGGATGGGGTCTTTTGTTCTGAAGATGTATCGAACCAAACCGCCCAAGTCTATTATCCCTAACGCAGACAGGGGGGGCCCAAGTGAGGCCACGTCTTCACTGCGTTATTCGGGTTAGGTGATCTTTTATTCTCGATGGCAGGGAGCCCCGGAGGCCCCCAAGAGGCCCAAGCGAGGCCCGTGGAAGCACCCAAGCGGCCACCGAACGGCCTCAGAGGTACTGCCGTCCAGAGAGGGGGCAGAACGAGAGGCGAGAGGCACCTCGCAGGCGTAGAGAAGGCAGCTCTTCACACTCTCGGGGCCCTAGATGCCTGTCTTCTGGGCGGCGCCGTCGTAGGTTCCACGGCTGACGGAAGAGCATGAGAACACGACGAACGCCACAGCCGCGGACGAACGAAGCAAAGATACGAGTCAATCGGAGGAGTCAGAGAGCGGAGGGGGGGGGAACTCGGAAGGTGGGAGGGAGAGGAGGAGGAGGAGGAGGAAGAGGAGGAAGAAGAGGAGGAGAAGAAAGAGGAGGCACAAGAGAATAATAGCGACACGGTACCCGACTTCGGATGATCGAGCATGATCTCGGCACTCACGGGCTTTACGGGGTCGGCGGTGTGGCGCAAGACAGCGTAAGAGCTTGCCCTTCCTTCTCATCATCCCCCCCTCCTCCCCATCCTCCTCCTCTTCCTTACCTCTGACAACCTCCGGATCAACCTTCTCCTCCTCAATATTATCGTACTCATCTTATTCCCGTTTCGTCCTCCCTCACTTCTCCTTTTCCCATGTCAAGAAAAGCATGTGGCAAATACTGGGCACCAGCTCAGAGAACTAGCACGGAATACCAGAAAGACATCATCACCATTACCCCCACCACCATCAGCAGCACCAACATCGCAACCGCCAGCATCATCACCAGAAACATCTTCAATAACCAAACACACCCATAGCATCATCATCCGCCCTCCGCTTCCCCTTGCCACATTCACCTGTCCTTCATCAACCCACCTTGTCCTATAAATGCGAAAGCTGGCCCTCCTCCTCACCATCAACCAGCATGCTTATCACCACCACCACATGCATTTGCATGCTGATTATCATGTGTGGATTGGCATTGTAGCATACATGCATCAGCATTGTATTGTGGCGCCCATTATTACATGAATCAACATCAGCATTACAACATGCATCAGCACTGACATTGTAGCATGCATTACTATTAAACGAATCAGCATGTTCAACAATAAGATCATCATCGCCGCCATCAGTGTTACCATGCTGCCATCATCAGCATCATCGTCATCGTCATCCTCATCACCGTCGTCGTCACCGCCATCCTTACCAGCATTTTCAATCACCGTCAACATCCCCACCATCACCATTACCACTATCATCGGCATCTCCCCTCACCCCTTGCCATCCCTCATGCTCGACCTCCCCTCCCTCCTCCCTCCCTCTCCTTTTCCTCCTCCTGCGATCCGAAGGTCTCGCGCTTCGCCCCCGACACCCCCTGCATTTCGCCAGATCCGCGACAAACCAGAAGAGCACCTTCCACGGGGAAACCAACAAATATCGATACCACTACTCCCCTGTCGTCTCCCGGGGTGCGCTCTGACCGCAACTCAGACCAGGGCCTCCCAGGAAGCCCAGAAAGACGAAAACGAGGCGAGGGCAGCGGTATCAGTCCCTTTTCCCCCTGATGCAATCCCCTGAACATGAAAGAAACGGATCCTATGGGAAACGGGTCCTGGATCCCAGAGTCAGTCTTCATCCTGAGCCGTTTTCTGACAGTCCCAGAGGCCAAGGAGGGCCCCGAGACCCCGAAAACGGTGGAAAACCTCAGCTCACGTTTCCCTCAGGACCCGTTTCCTTCAATGACGAACCAAAAACACACACCCATGCCCATAGGGGGGACGGAGGGGGCTATGTGCGAGTGTTGTCGGATAGGGACCCGCTCGAACGGGAGCCTCCCCCGCGGTCAGACAAACCGAACCCATACCCATAGCCAGTCCTCCTCCCTCCGATCCCCCTGTGGGTCCGGAATACACAATAAACACGGGGTGGTCTCATTTAAGAGGGGTTCTGATTTGAGCTGTCTTGGAGGGTTCCAGTGGGGCCTGGGCAAAAGACCGCCCTTTCGCGGCTGGTCTGGAGGGGGGTTCTAAAACTGCGCGCCTGGAAGGCTTGTGACCCCATACATTCGATTACGAAGATTGGAGTTTGGGGGTGCGTTGCTCGTTCGTCATTCAAGGCGATCACCCTCTGGGGGCGATGAATTGAATAGGAGGGGGGGCAGACAGGTGCACTTCTCGGGCCCAAAAAGCCCTCTTGAGGGCCCCGTTTATTTTCAGCCATCGCTGCCCACCCCGTTATGCGACGCCCATAAGACGAAACTGGGACGAGAATAACTTCGGGTGAGGAAAAATCGAGAATCTCTGACATCCAGCGGCTCTGGTACATGTCTCGGGCGCCGCGGCCTCTCTGAGAACATCCCGGAACGCTCTGAAACGGATTCATCAGAATGAGGGGGCCGAACGGTCATTAATTGTCCATGGGTGCGTCGCTGAAGTGGCTCGTTGCGCTGTCGCGTTGTTGTTTGTTTATTTGTTGTCGTCGTCCCACCCGCGACCCACCCGAAACCCACCCTGCGACCCACCCGGCGACCCACCCCGCGACCCACCCCGCGACCCACCCCGCGACCCATCCCGACCCAACCCTCGACCCACCCGCGACCCACCCCGCGACCCATCCGCGACCCACCCACGACCCGCCCGCGACCCACTTGCGACCCACCCGCGACCCATTTGCAACCCACCCGCGACCCACCCGCGACCCACCCGCGACACATTTGCGACCCACCCGCGACCCACCCGCGGCTTACCCACATTGGCTTAACGAACAAATCGGCGCCTGCGGCGGGCTCGTTGGATAATTTGTAAGACTGTGGCGACCGCGGCGTGCTTCTCCAGAGTCCCACAGACTGCCGCCATCCCCTTCTGCCCCCATCACTGTTACCCGCATCTGCGGGGTGCTACGGTCCTCGTCCCAACCCCGTCCGAACCCAACCACCCCCGTGTTGTGTTCCGTTCGGCCCGGGGCAGGACGGGGCGCGGGCGCGCGCCTGGAGAGGTTGCTGCAGAAGTCGCGCGTGGGAGGCCACAGGCGCGCGGGCTCGCGCCGAGCTGGCGCGGGGCGAGGTCCTGCGGACCACCGCCCGGGGCCCTGAACGGCGGGCACGCGCACCTGGAAACCGAAAAAGCTGCAGCGGCGGCGGGCAGAGGCGGGAAGAGGAGGAGGATGAGGAGGAGGCGGGAGAAGGAGGAGGAGGGGGAGGAGGAAGGGGAGGAGAAGCAGGAGAAGGAACAGGAGGAGGAGGAGGAGGCCGGAAGTGGCGGGAGGAGAAGGAAGAGGAGGAGGAGCATGAGGAAGAGGAGGAGGAACAGGGACAGGAGGAAGAAAAGGCGGGAAGAGCAAAAGGCGGGAGGAGGAGGAGGAGGAGCAGGAGGAGGAGGAGGACGAGGACGAGGACTGTGGCGAGGAGGAAAAGAATGAAGGGCGGAGAATGAGGGAGATGAGGATAACCAGAGTAAACCAACAAATGCCTAAATGATGTTGCGCTACACCCTCCCTTCCCGAGCCCCCTCCCCGGAAGCGCCCTCTTTGGAAGAGCAGCACACTCGGGCCTGCCACTGTGGGGAAGGCCCCGCTCTGATCAGAGAGAGCCTTGCATCCATCCTTGCGGCGCATAATCAAAACCGAACAAAAACAGTGGCCCCACAATTGAACAAGGCGTCCAGTGATATACCCCTCTCTGAAAGCATGAACAGCGAGCCCCGCCACACACGCGAAGAACTTTAGACCAACCCGACCGTCAAACGACGCGTAAGCTGCAAGCTGAAAGTGCTCGACGGTCAGCCAACAACAACGCCGCGCAATTCCATGCGAACGGCGCGGTGCTGCCATGCTCATCGGCGTTTGTAACTTGGCGTCGCCTTGCGATGGCACGCACCCTATGCTACATGTGATTATGTCGGTTCGCGCGTTCGTGCTGGGGCGAAATCCAAGGGGCGCGGCGGCCCTTGGCGGCGAAACCCCCGGACGGCGGCCGGGGCCCGCCCGGCACGGGCGCACGTCAGAAAGTTCTGTCTGGCCCACCCAAAAAACAACAAAAGGTTGGCACCAGGCGACAAATAAGTATACAAACGCTGTTCAAAAAGTGATCATATCTCGCACGGGGAAACCCAGAAAAAATGCATTAAAACAACATGTGTTCATATAGGCATCAAAAAATACGAAGCTTTAGATTGGACAAATTGTCTTAAGAGAAACACACCCCATCTAAATTGTTCCGTCGGTGGGCCAGCGGCGCTGCCATGCGAAGGACAGCGCCGCCGTCGCCTCAAACTGCGCGCCGCGGCCGTGGCACGCGCGGCCCTGGGAATGGCGGCGCGGGCGCGGCCGCATCGACTGGGCCCGAAGCGTCGCCGCGCGCGCGGTCCCCCCTGCGGCAGCTGGCACTGGCCTGGCTCGCAAGGGGGCTACGCTTACGCACA